ATTTTATGAATTATTAATTAATTAATAWCTATTTATTTATTTTAAAATTTGTTCTAATTACTTATGCATGGCAGTAGAATGCATTTTGACACACTGTACACAATAGAGCACAGCTTCTCATTCCTCTGGCTGTACATGGTGCAGAGTCACACTGGTCCTGGAATCATACATGTACTTAGGGCAGTAATGTCCTTCTCATTTCACCGTCCCACCCACCCCCACATTCCCTCCCCTCACTCCACTCTGCAGGATCCAAAGTTCTTCATTCTTTCCTTTCCTAGCCCCCATTACAGATCAGCATCCGCTTATCAGAGAAAACATCTGGCCTTTTGTTTTTGGGGTTTGGCTTCTTTCACTTAGCASGATATTCTCCARCTCCATCCATTTACCTGCAAATGCCWTCATTTCATTCTTCGTTAAGGCTGAGTAATATTCCATTGTGTTTATGTACYACATTTCCTTTATCCATCTTCATCTGTTGAAGGGCATGTTGGTTGATGCCATAGTTTAGTTATCCTGAAGCAATATGGAGATTCCTCAGAAAACTTGTAGTGGAACCACTATTTGACCCAGCTATCCCACTCCTTTGTTTATACCAAAAGGACTTAAAATCAGCATGCCAAAGTGAATCTCTTTTCAAAACAGAAGTAATGTTTATGTAAAGTTGAGTCCAGATATCTCTCATAGGCAGTGTATTGTGGGTTAAGTTTACTTATTTATTAAAATATTTATGGTAGACATACATGGTTTCTTGCCATCTACTCAGTTCCTGTTATCCTTGGCTTTGCTTAATTTTTTTTATTGGAGTATAACATATAATGACTATAATTTTTATACACTTAATTGTAAGTACTTTAATCGTTTCCAGAGAGCCCCTATATTTGTTCAATATCWCATAACATATGCTCTATTACTAAAAAGATTTCAGAAGATCTAATCTCAGGGATAACTTTAAAACAAAAAAAAWTTTTGGTTTTCTTTAGAATAAAAATTCTATTTAAAATTCTATACAATTTGTGGGCGTGTAGTATATAAGTTTTTGTGTATGTACTATTTTACTTCTTTCTCTTAAACTCTTGCTAGCTAGGAGTGGCAGTGCATATCTGTAATCCCAGAGACTTGGGAGGCTAATGCAGGAGGATCTCAAGTTCAAGGGCAGCCTGGGCAACTTAGTAAGCCATTGTGTCAAAATAAAAAAATAAAGAACAGCTGCAGATATAGCTCGGTGGTAGAGCGCCCCTGAGTTCAATCCCCAATACTACCAAAAAAAAAAAAAAAAAAAAAAAGAAAGAAAAGAAAAGAAACAAACAAACAAACAAAAACCGAAACACTCTTCTAGTTATAACTCTTTATTTCCCTAAATATGGTTAGGTTCACCTTTAGCGGGGAACTTGGAAATTATCACACATGGCAGTAGATTACTTTACAATGATTTTCTAAATAGTGACCATTCTCACACACAAACCAGATGATATGTTTGCAAATGTTGATCAAATATGACTTAATTATAGTTCCAAAGGCCAGTTTCTTTCTGAGGATGAAAAACACATGAGTAGATTTTCTCACAGAATGTRCATGTGCACGCTAGGGCTACTGTCACAAAATAGCACCAATTTGTTGGTATGAGAAACAGATCTGGAGGCTGCAAGTCCAAGATYAGGCTGTCRGTAGGGCTGGGTTCCTCTGAAGCCTGTGTCCTTGGCCTGCAGACAGCTTCCTTTTGCTGCCGCTCCCTGAGATTGTCTCTCTGTGCCTGTGTACTCCTTATGGTCCTTCCTCTTTTTTTAAGTACTTAAGTCACATTGAACTCAATCCGACTCCCAAAACATCCTTTTTAACTTAATAATTTCTTTAAAGATATTATCTCTAAATATGGATACATTTTGAGGAATGGGTTGGAGTTTCAACCTGTGAGTTTTGGAGATGGGGTAGAATTTAAGTCATCACAGAAACTTTTGTTATGACTGGTAGAAATTAGACTGTGTCATTATGTTTAGAAGTAATTAGGAAGCTCTTTGACCTTAGAGAATTTTAAAGTTTTATCCCAGAAGCAGTGTGATGGTTGGCAATTGTGTTGTTTATCTCTTACTTTCCGTGTTTCCTATTATCTTCCAGAGAAGTGATATCTCAGTCTCTTTCAGGGGCACATTGACAACTTTTGAGAATCTGATGAAAGCTGACTTTGATGAAAGTTAACTTTGTTTTGACAAATTACCTTAAAACATCATGTCTTAATACAATAGCCTCTTTTCTCCCCCTCARTRTACTGGATGCTGGATAACTGGGCTRGCTCCAGGGGAGTTGCYGATTGATCATTGTATGGGACTGGCCTCGATTACTTGTGTGGTCCCTTAGTTTTCAATGCCTGTCACTTGTGTCTTGAGGCCAGCTGGCTGTGGGCAGGCCCAGTGGAGGAACTGGGTCAGGTGTTGCTGATCATCCAGCAGGYGTGCCTATTTCTAATCATATGGTACTGATCAAAGTGATGTCAAGAGCAGGAAAGAACAAGCCCCAGAGAGCTTTCTAAGTCTTTTCTGGCATCACTTTTGCTATTATCTCATTGGCCAAAGTTAGTCATATGATCCAGCACAGATTCAAGAATTGGAGAAACTACAAAGCCACATTGCAAAAGGGAGATGGGAAGATTTTGTGGTCTCTAGTGAGAAAAAGAGGGAGATATAAAGATGAGAAAAATAGAATTGGTAAACTGTATTCTGACAGGTGTTTTCTCCTATACTCGAAAATTGTCTTTTGATTAAAAAAACATTGAAGGTTGTTGTCTAAAAAAGTGCAGATGCTGGCTGGAGCACAAAAGGAACAGGAAGTGGAACGGGGATGGGGGGGGACATGGTGGAGCACCTGCTTCATGAGCCTTGAAACACGAAACAAATCTCCTGAGTTCTCAGAGGTGACAACGTGGGAAACTGGTCTGTAGGGAGTGAAAGATATTTTTTCTGATGAGGATGTTATTTCTTCTTAAGACATTTTTAAATATAAGTACCTCATGAAGGGATAATGGGAAATACCTGGACTCCTAGACCCAGCAGAATCCTGGAAAATTTTGCCCCATTGCCATATTATTGAACTAAAAAAAAAATGCTAAATTTGAAAATAGTTAACCGAGAGACTTAGAAATAACACATTTCCCTGAAATTCTTACTATAAATCTTAAATTTGGAATTAGTCTTGTTTTCTCACAAGAATAGCAACTCCTTGTTTGATTGTTTATTTATTTATTTATTTATTTATTTATTTATTTAATTTGATACCAGGGATTGAACCCTGTGGTGCTTGACCACTGAGCAACATCCCCAGCCCTTTTTAAAATATATTTTCTTAAATTTAGAGACAGGGTCCCACTGAGTTGCTTATGGTCTTGCGAAGTTACTGAGGCTGCGTTTGAACTCACAATCCTCCTGCCTCAGTCTCCCAAGCTTCTCGGATTACAGGCGTGTGCCATTGTGCCCCGCTCCTTGTTTATTCTCTCTAACCAATTCTGACTTATACCTACCCTGATTATTCTGATCTTGATTTACAAGTTTCTTTATGCCTTAATCCACTGTCAAAGCCAACTCTTAATATCCACTCCATTAATGTAGAGAGCTGAGCCCTGACCTAAATGTATATTATGGAATTGGATTATCAAACTACTTAATTTGAGAGTATGTTTGTGTATGTGTTTCCATTATTGCAATAAAACAGCAGAGATAATCAATTTCAAAAGAGGAAGGGTTTATTTTTTCTCATGATTTTTGGAGGTTTTAGTCCACGGCCAGTTGGTCCCATTGCTTTTAGGACTGTGGTGAGGCTGCACCTCATCAGGGGAGCATGCAGCTGCTCACCTCATGGTATCTGGGAAACAGAGAGAGAGACAGGAAGGTGCTGGGACATCCCCATACAGGCAGGTCCCCAGTGACCTAACTTCCTGACTAGGTCCTGCCTCCCTAAAGTTCTACAACCTCTCAATAGCACCACAGKCTGGTAATGAAGCTACACATGTCCATTTGGGGGATGATTCAAGCTCCAAGACCCAAACCCTAGCAGGGCATGTTTATTGAAAGCTTTTAGTTCTTACTTGAGCTTTATTCTATAAACATGAAAAAAATTGTATCAGAAACATCCAAGGAAACAATATTCCTTTCCACATTAAATTATAAGTGACAGACCCATAAACCATCACAGATTAACTTCAACTGGAAACTCGTTGAAACTGTGTGGCCACTTCAGAAGAGGTGAACATGGTAGCTAGTGTTGTTTCCAGAAACATATTTAAATATGCTCTTCTCTCACATTATAACCTAGAGTTGATTAGCAGAGTGAGGAAGCCATATCAGTTTTTTTCCCCAATACGAATGCTGCACTATTAATCACCACAAAATCTCAGTGACATCCAATGGTAAGCATTTCTTCTTAGCCTCATAGGGTCTGCAGGTTTATAGGCTCTGCTGCAAAGGTAGCAGCTACCTAGGACAGACACCTTCTTCTCCTGGTAGTGGACAGAAGCTCCTAGCAGGACAAGTGGAAACACTCAACACCTGTTAAGACTGAGACACTGATCTGGCACACTGTCACTTCCCCCATTTTATTGGCCAAAGCAAGAAAACAGTCAAAACTGAAGGCAGGAGTCAGTAAACGAACTATGCCCAGCAAGTTCTCTAGAGCAAGAAAGAACTAGGGCGGACAATTTCGCCTACCACAGAGGGGTTGTTCTTTCCAGAAATAAACATCATCCTCAGACACATACCAGGTCATGTTTTCTATGGTTTATTGATATTTAGTGCTTAATCTGAATTGCTTGGTTTTGCTTCTTGATTCATCTGAAGCTGGGAGGTTTCCAAGATACCTTTTTAATATGTTTACTTGAAATTTTGATTAGGAGTTGCAAGTCCTTTTCAAAGATATCTCCAATAACAGTTTGGAAACTGGATCTTCTTCCTGTGCTGACGCRCCCCTGCTCCCCTCATTTCTGGGTATCTATTAACATCCTACACTTATTTCAGCCCAGAGGTGCTGAAGAGCGAGCCTTACGGGGAGAAGGCTGACGTCTGGGCGGCAGGCTGCATCCTGTATCAGATGGCCACCCTGAGTCCTCCCTTCTGCAGCACCAACATGCTCTCCTTGGCTACAAAAGTAAGGAAAGTTGGAAGACAGAAGGTCTTGTGTTGCCAACAGGCCATTCATTTACTTCCTAACAGAAATTGTGTGATTTTATTCAAATGTTGATTGAAAACAACATTGCTTTATTAACTGCACGATCCGACTTATTTTTTCTCCTTTCTTCTAAATATAGGCCACATGCTATGCACATTTCCATATCCAACTGCATTCATTCATTCATCATAGAAATTTATAAAATATGAATATATCAAGTTACTTTTGGTCTCTTATTATTACTTTAAAATTTTTTTTATAGTTATATATGGACACCATGCCTTTATTTGTTCATTTTTATATGGTGCTAAGGATGGAACCCAGTACCTCACATGTGCTAGGCAAGTGCTCTGCCACTAAGCTACAGCCCAAGCCCCTGGTCTCTGATTTTTMATTGCAGTTTGGACTGCCCACAACCCAGCATATGGTATTACCCCATGCATCTTTTTATTATGAATCTAAGGTTAACTGTAGCCCAGCATGGGGAATATAATTCAGTGTTCTAGAACTGTTTAATTGATGTTAATTTTTGGGATGTTTTTATCTCTGATTAAATTTTGTGCATGCACTTCATGTTGTGGCTAAGGATCATTGCTCTAAGAWGCCAACAGCCCCATCACATCTACCACTGCAGTCTGTTTGTTTTGCAGATAGTGGAGGCGGTATATGAACCAGTGCCAGAAGGCATCTACTCTGAGAAGGTGACAGATACCATCAGCAGGTAATTAATCTCACAACTTCCAACATATAGGGACCTTCAAGAAGTACCTCACATCTATAAACATTCACTATTTAGGTGGAGGGGAAGGGTCCCCACCTAATCCAAACCTGGAAAGATGTTTGTGTATCACCAGTAGTAGTGAACCTTCTGGAAGCCATTGGAATATCCAAGAGGACATAGTAGAAAATGTCATGCAAACACTAGAATGATTATTTGGAAGGCTTCTTATCAACTTRTAAAACTCATGTGACATGAAACTAAGTGAAGAAAATAGGATATGAAACTGGAAGTATGACAAGAAGCATAAAAATCTGCACAAATATGGAAAAAAGCCAGGAGGAGAACACAGGAAACTGAAGAAGGTCGTGTCCARGGATAAAATTGTAGATACCTTTTCATGTCTAATTCTTCAATTGGCAATATTGTCCTTTATAGTAAGTTGTCAAGGAAAATCAGAAGCTCTGGCCATCAAAATAGTAGGAAAGTAATGAAAGTCATTATCTCCATGCATTCCCAAAGTTCTGACCAGTCCCTCCTGGCCCCATGAGGCTGTCCCCAYTCATCTCTCACCTGGCCCATTCTGCTCTTTCTCCTGCTCCCTAGGTTCCAGCTATCTCCTCCTACTCCTTTGTCCTTTCTTTTACTTTATTTCTAAACTCTTCCCTCTGATGTATGCATGATATAAGCCCTCACTCCACTTGGCTCTCTACTGAAACCCACTCTGCCCACCCCACTGCCTCTCAGAGCTCTCTAGCCCCCTTACCTGCTTCATAAAACTCAGCCCCACCACCCCTGAAATATAYACATGCATAAACCCTTGTTTGTTGATTGTCTGTCTCTTCCTTACCACAAAGTAAACTCAAGAGCAAGAACTCTGTCATCTTGCTTCTTACCAGTTTAGTCCCCAGAACAGTGCTCGGCACAGAGTAGACCCTGGATGTGTGAATGGATCACTTTGGTTTGGCTGATTGCTATTTCCAGACCATCTCAGGTAGTCGAGTCAGCCCAATGTGATTTCTGTGCTCCATTGAGCTGTACCAGATCCTCATCTTTTCCATCCCCTTCCCAAGTGTTTTAATCCTTGCTTTGGCTTCTGTCTCTGATGGACCATAATGGTCATATTACTAAGGCTAGTCTGCTTTCCCTTGGCTTCTCCCCTCCGGTCCATGTTTTCTACTAATAATTACCCCTACTCTATTTTAGGATTATTTCTTGAACCTTTCTTGTTTGGCATAATGTTGGCCTACAGTCTTACGAGTCTCAGGCTGTGGAGCCAGGCCTAGCAGGGGCAGAGCGCTTGCTATGAACTGCAGATGGTGGCCAAGGGGTTTCTGCATCTGCGTTTCCTCATCTAGTAAAATGGTGGTTGTAATGTAATAGTACCAACCTCATCAGGTCCATGTGACAATTGCGCAAAGTAACATATGCAAACCACTTGGCACAGGGTTGAGGAAATGGCAAATACTTGCACAGTTTTGGCAGTTATCACTGTTAATGTTATGGGAAACGGGCTGGAAGCTCTTCCTAAATCATCTGAGTTTCACGTATTCTCAGTCATGCCTTGTTGCCAATGAATCCAGACAATTTATCTCTATGATTCATGCCTCTTCTCTGTTATTTGTTTTTGGAAAGTACCTTATATACTGAAGAAGTCTCTGGAGATGGCAAGATGAAGATACTATATTTGCTCATTTAATTTCTCCTTTTCATGGGTAGTTGAGTGCCATAGAGGGAAGGGGAGAGATACCAGAGAAAAAGGTACAGAGGCAGCAGTCTGACTTTGTGCAACTGAGCTGCAGGACTGTCAGTCCCTTTTAACAGGTTCCCTGGCCATCAACACACTTTTTAGGATCAATAGACCAATGGGGGTGGGGTGGGGGGCTGAGGGGAGTCAGATAGTAACATTACAGTGCAAAAATTTAGAGCATCACTAGGTTCTAGACTGCATTGGCTTCTAAAGCCTCTTCTGCCACTCATTTTAACTCGTCTGAGCTTCATTTTCTCGTCTGTGCTGTGTGGTTAGCAATATTAACTACCGCGTGGGCTTTGTTCTGAAGCTTAACTAAGATAATGCTGCTGACACACTTTTTATGTTGTAAAACCTCTATAAAGTTAGATACTGTTATTAATAACATTATTATGTGAAATGACAACTGAAATAGGATACTACCGTGAAAGCATATGATATTATTTGCAGAATTAAGTATAAAAAAACAAATTATAAATGTGATGAAGGGCAGTAAAGGGGGCCATGAAGGATGGTAGAAGGACCTGGCTTAGTACGAGGAGTTAGAGACTGTTTTTCTGAAGAAGGGTCATGTAACCTGAGACCTGAATAACCCATAATTCTCAAATGGTGAACAGGGGCGGAGAAAGCATTTCCTGGACCAGCATCTGTGAAAGCTTCACTGGTTCATTTGAGGAATGGGAAGAAAGTGGAGATGAAGCATCTTAAGTAAGGAAGAAGGAGCCAGCAAATGATTTGGGGCAGGAAGGGCAACAAGGGCCAGAGGCTGTAGGTGCTGTGGACTGTGTGGTGGGTTCTGGATCTTTAATTGGAGCACTGCAGGGAGGACTGATGGGTTATCAGCAGACTGATGCATAGTGAAATGTCTTATTTMGCAAAGACCATGCTGGCTGCTCTACGGGGAGCAGAGGGAGGGCATGAGAATGGAAGAGGAGATCACAGTTGATGGTGACTGATGGAGTGGTGGTGGAGGAGGAGGAGAGAGGTGAGATCGTTACCACCCCAGGGTGGATGTTGTCTGCATATTTGAGGGCTTGATCCTAAGAAGATTCAAAATACTTTGATTAAGTGGGAAAGTGGAATGATTTTGAAAATACGAGAAGAATGGGCTTTATTCCATAGAGCTTCAGAATAAGGAGCAAARACCTAAAGGGGGTAAAAGTTACAAGCAGGATAAGGTCAGCTCACCATGACAAAGTGTAGGCCAGAATTAGAGGCATACACAGTACAGGAGGCCACTGGTGGGTTGTGAGCTCACTGACACCAGAGGGTGAATGATCACCTATTAGGGGATTCCAGATGAAATGTTTTTGAAGGTGCTTTCCATTTAAAATACTAAGATGCCATAATAAGTTAGAACTGACAATTTAATTTTGCAACTGACTGTAAATTAAGATTGCAGGGTGCATTCTGTAACAGAYGTTATTTTCATTTCAAGCTATTCAAGACTCCTCATTGTCTGGGTTCACAATTGCAAAGTTTTATCTTTAGGAAATTTGACATAAAACCAAAATCAGTTGTGAGTTACATGYGATTGCATGTTTAATTTGCTTTGGATTTTTAGTATTTAAAAGTTAAGTTCCAAGAGAATTAGGGAACACTTTCAAATTTCCTATTTTCTTAGCCTCCCGTTTTCTTCAAGAACAATGCAAGGGACATATGCAATTAAAATCTCAGCAAATTATTAGGTTCAGAGCCAATCACTGTAGCTTGACAGAGGCTTCGAAGAGAGGGGAAAGTTTACTGTAATCATTCTTAAACTGTTCATTGCTTCCAGTCACGTCTATCTTCTTTCTTCCACTTTACTATCATCTCATTCTTGTCAAGTAGAGCTCACACAATTTGCATCTCTAATGTGCAGGATCTTTTCTTTTTCCTGTTTGTTTATGTGGCATATAAGCACATTTTGTTAACGAAACTTTTCTTTTCTAGCAAGCTTTTAAATTAAGAGAATAACTCAGCAGCTCTGGAATTTGGGGTAGAAAATAAATACATCTTGTTGCTCTGCCCAGTACCAGCATGACTATTTTTACCTTCCAGTACACTCTTAGGAGAGTATTGTCTGTTTTCTTTTTTAAAAGGAAGAACATTTCCTTTTATGCACAAAATATTCCAATTGCCTTATTTTTCTCTCTCTGCGCCTGGTTGCATAAGCTGTCTGGCGCTTTGTTTCAGAGGCAGTCATAATGACTACAGAAGCTAATGCTAGCCGTGAGCTCTAAGGACAAGTGGATCTTAGAGCAAGTGAATCTTTACATTTTTTACCCCCACTTCAACTCTTGTTTCATAAAACATGAAATGAATACAATTGAACATTGTATTCCTCTCACTTTTTTTTTCTCCATCTCATCTCTCAGAGTGTTGTGGGGACAAAGTGGGTGAGAAGAGGGGAACATCCCATATTTTTTCTAGAACAAGACTTGATGCTTATCTGAAAATCATTGGAGCATCATACAGGCTGAGGATATTCTATCAATCTACAGTGTGTGTTTGACTTTGACTCACTCAGTGGAAATTCTCTGAAATAACCGAAGCTGGGAGTTATTTCAGAGCAATGAGACTAGACTGAAACTTCTGATTGGAGATGTTCTTGGGAGGGTACAAGGCTGTGGTCAATCCATTTGGGCTATGGATAGGTCAGTTCTTTAGATGTTGGTGCTGAGTTTGCTTCATTCATTCGCTCACTGCTGGATAGCTGTCAGGACCCAGATTCCATTTCACATACTGACTTCTCAGATCATAGTGACGGTGGAAGCACCTCTTGCCCCTCAAGAAGTTTCCCCTCCAGCGGTGAATCAGGCCATTGCAAGACAATAATTATGATAGTTTTAAGTACTTCAAATGTACACAGTGCATTGAGAACATATAAAAGAGGAACAGTAAGTCTTTCTGAAAGCATTCCAAATAGTCTTTCCAATGGAGACTTGAAAATGCGGATTTGGGCAGGAAGATAAGAGATGATATCTGGGAAAGCTCAGGGTACTATCAAGAAGGAAAATCAAGCAGATGGTCTAAAATAAGCAAAGAAATATGTGGCATAGGAGAGCCCTGGACTGTTTGGAAAAGTGCAGGTAGGAGCATTTGATGTGTTGCTGGGAGATGGGAAAGAGAGGAGGGAGATAAGTACCAGATCAACTGGGACCTTACATGGCATTCTGGGAATTTTAATTTTATCTTACTGGACTTGGAAGCTATTGAGGAGTTTTCAATCTGACCCAGGCCCTTTCATACTAATTATGATGCTAAACTGCATCTCCCTGCTGGTACCTTTTCTAATGAGGCCAAATATAGGGTGGGGAGGAGCCTTGGGAGAGGAGGATATAGCTAAATGCCAGGAGAGGGAGGTCATTTCTCTTCCCATTTACCATAATATTTTAAAATAACCACATGATTTCTGAAACAAACTTATGCTGCTTTTTGTTAAAAAAAATACTCAGCTAACAATTTACCTGCTAATGTCATCTTGAATCATTTTAAATATTTGCAATCTGAAAATTTATAATATTTGTGCTCACAAAAGGTCTAGATGCAGGGTGTTTTTTTTTTTTTTCTCACAAGGTAGTCAAAATAACACTAGGGCAACCTAGAATTTTAGCAGTTTTAATCTTTTTGGCTAATTAAGCGAAAGTAGATGAAGAATCTGATTTAATTAAAAGGCAAATTTCAACAACTTAGCTTCTTTTGTGATTATGAGCAAAAGCAAGAAACTTTACAAATATGTCATCATAGCACAGCACAGAATTGGCTTTATGTGCCTGTGACTAGTGCAAGCCCCTGTGCTCAAATGGTCCTGAGTTTGGGGTTTAAGACTTTGTATATAAGGTCCTGAAATTCTTTTTTTTTTTAAATTTATATATGACAGCAGAATGCATTACAATTCTTATTACACATATAGAGCACAATTTTTCATATCTCTGGTTGTATACATAGTAAATTCACACCAATTCGTGTCTTCATACCTGTACTTTGGATAATAATGACCATCACATCCCACCATCATTAATAACCCCACACATGTCAGGATGGAGCAAGTGCCCTGCTGCATCTCGGGAAGCAAAGAAAAGACCTCTCCTGACTAGGCTGGCAACATCATGGCACACTTGGTGGACAACTCAGGGGGTGCCTCTTCCCACCCCTGGCCTGTGTTCCAGGTGCATCCTACCTGCACAGAGATTGTAATCTCTTGGGGGTCGCTTATCTAACATCAGTTGGGATGCTGAACTGTAAGAAGGGCAGTTTGACTTCTCCAGTCCCACTGGAGCTCCCTGTTTTCATTTGCAGGGGACACCCACAGACTATGTAGCTGGCCCTATTCCCATAGTCTCTTGCCTATATTTGTACATAACAAATGCACAGAGTGAACTTTGTTAAATATGAATTCARCAGATGTGCAGAGTGCCTGTTATGACCATAGTGCGAGCCCACTGCCTTAGAATTGAAAAAGAAAAAGCATGAACACAGATCAGAAAATGATAGTGTCTTAGAATCTGATTAAAACTCTTATGTGGTTTAGTYGTGATTAATAAACTCAATAAGAGGGAGTCATTGGCAAATTGTCATTTTGAGTCTCATTTTGACTTCTGTTGTGAAGAATATTTGTGGACTGATGGAGAAAGCAGTGCAGGCAAAAGATAGCTTGAGTGAGGATGTGTTGCTAAGTCATATACTGATGTGAAAGTTAGATATTTTCCTCAAAATTCAAGTTAAATTTGATTGAAAAGTATGCATGATTCAGTGCAATTAGAGAATTTGAATTAAAAAATAGATAACATTCTATTCTGGATACTGGAAGTAATTGAATGATCTTGGTATTTGGTTTCTGTAACATGAACAATACTCCCTTTACTATACTGAGTGATATACTTCCAAAATCATAGGAAATATTAGCATGCAATGTGTCAAATTAGTTACTTTAAATTACTTTTGTTAAAGACAAATAAAATTGAAGATGACGGTTTGGAGATGCCCTATGGCAGACTGTCTATAACTGCTCATCCAAAACTTCAATCATCACGATTTCCCTGAAATTCTATCTCCTATCATAAACAAAATGCAAAATATAAACTTCATATCCTTGTCAGCATGATTCAGTGAAATCAAACCAATCCTCCGCAGTCGAATCAACTTAAACACTCCCAGTTGCTTTAAAAAGAATGACATGTAACAGCCAGTCACAAAAAAAGGTCCAGATACTTCCTCATTTATCTTCTACAGACTGTGCTGCCAGGCAAGCCTCTCCTTCCCAGTTCAGACCTCCTGGTTTGGGGGACTGCTCTTTTGTGTGCCCAGTGAAGTTCCATAATTTAAAAAGTTGATCCAGTTTTATTTTGACCCTATTATAGACATCTTCAACCTCTAAGTAACTGGATTATATTTTATATTTATGACTTTGTGTTTTGTAAGACTGAATCATCAAAGTGTATTGTTAATGACAACATTCAGCTGGAAAAGGCCAATAAGTTGTGACCCCCCTGCTGAAACTGTCCTTCCTTTTGGTGCATCAAAGGTGATTGTCAGGGACTGTGTATTGGGGTCCCTCTTTGTTCTACTGACCAGTGAGCTGAGAGTAACTTCAGAAGGCAGTTGACCCACACAGGGGATGATGAGCCCCTCTGCCTATGCTGAAGCCTAAGGAACAGCTTCACATCCAACCTGTGGCCCTTGCCTACATGCAAAGAAATAGTCCTGCCTCCCTCTCTCTCCCCGGCTCTCTAAATACCCTTTGGGAAGTGTTGGATTCAAACTTACATTTGATTCCTATCTTATCTGGGTTTTCTTGGGTGCAGATACCATGGTGGACTCTGTAGCATAGTTTAATTTTGACCTTCCACATCCCAGGTCTGGTCCTGACATTCATTCAGTGTTGTAATTGGCTCATCCCTTGTCTCAGGTGCCTGACTCCCGATGCAGAAATCCGTCCCGACATTGTAGAAGTCAGTTCGATGATATCAGATGTCATGATGAAGTATTTAGACAACTTATCGACATCCCAGCTGGCCTTGGAGAAGAAACTGGAAAGGGAACGGAGGCGCACGCAGAGATATTTTATGGAAGCCAACAGGAACGCGGTCACATGTCACCATGAGCTGGCCCTGCTATCTCACGTGAGTGCTCATCTCTCGATCTACTAGACTGTCTAAAGATGTTCTGGCTTGTTTTGAGGAAAATCCAAAGTTAGGAAAATATTTGTTACATGAAATAATTAAGTATTATGTAGTTACAGATTATACCCCTTTTCTATTTTAAAGATATAAATAACTCAATATGACTGGCCTTCCAAAACAACTAATCCATACTTCATTGTATATTTTTCACAAAATCAGAAGTGTCAAAAAGTTCTCCCGGCAATTCTTCAAGTTTAAATTATGGTCTTTGTGGAAACAGCTGTGGATGCTTATATTTAATTTCTTCAGCARTCTCTACCTTTGGGAACATGTATGAAATGGGAGTTCATTCAGAGATGGAAATAACATTTGCCTTAAATTTTTTTTTTTTTTTTTACTGGTCTCTCTGTCATTGCTGCCATTGCTCTTTGTAGTCATGAAAAAGTTACAATGCTTCAAATCAGAATGTATTTTTAATTTTTTTGCCAGTAACCTGTAGATTATTTTGACATATACAGGTTTTTCTGAACAGGACTTGAAGAAAGGGTGCTAAAGCTGTGGATTTGCACATGTGCCAGCAGGGGTGTCGGTCATGCTCTTGTTGCTGCCTTCTTTCCCCACCTACGTGCCTTTGTTTTGACCTTGACCCACCATCCATGGTTTGCTTGTGCTCTGGGTCTCCCCCAGCAGGGACCATGGAAGGGATCCCTCGGACCAAGTGTTCTTTTCCTCTGTCCTCACGGTGGTGCCCAAGGAAGAAGGATCATAAAACTAATTCTTGGTCAAGGTACCTGATAAATTCAATTCCTTCCCGGGACCAGAAGACTTGTTGTACTTCAGCCGTTAAAATTTTATAAGAAGTTGAGCTCCAAGAAGAGACAGTTCTGACTTCTTGAATAACAGTTAACTCCAGTGAATTTCTTTCTAAAAAGAAGGAGAGCACTTCTGTTTCATGGGTTTCTCTTGAGGTGTTTGGRTTCCAGAAGTTGAAGATTCAACGTAGGGAACTCTTACCTTCGTTGCTTTAAGTGCTGGGCCACCTTAATGTAACTTCACCGAACGATCCATGATGATTTTTGAAGGCCTCAGCTCATGCTTAGGAGCATATAACTTGGAGTTATTGCTCTGAATGAACACAGTTAAATCTCATACACGGGGACTAAGAGCTTACTATGGCTTGTGATTTTACTGCCTGACTCTAAAAGCCAGGCRACAGTAAGAAATACGTTGTTCTATGTGTGCCACGATGCTTTCCTAATAGTAGACTAGATTGCAAGAGAGTTAGTTATTTTTATATGTCTTAAGTATCTGGAGCCTTCTATTAAGTTCCACTCTGCAAAGCTACTTAAACCAACTTCCAGTGGGATGTGAAAGAGTCACTTAACATGAGGTTCGTGTGACTGACATGGGGGTGGGTGGAGTTAGTTTAAAATCAAACAGTAAAAAATCCTCTTGAGCAAAACACCTTGAGAAGGACCATTTCACATATTTCTTTATTTTTCAGTTCTCAGTTATTTAAGAAAATTCTGTACTATGGAAACTTTCAAACATAGAAGCAAAGCCCACTTCTTATGCTCACTGCCCTCCCTGCCAGCTTCAACCATTAGCTACTTGATGTAAATCTTAGGTCTTTTCTATCCCCATGCACTTCTTACTCCCTGACTTTCCCAGATTATTTTGAAGCAAATCCAAGATACCATATTTTTTTCATCCCTCAATATTTTGATTGATGAGAGACAGTTTTACAGTAGAAATTTAACTCTTGGACCATGGCCAGGTAAGGCAAGGGGAAAGCTCTAGAGTCAAGGGAGGGGCTATGAGGTTCTTCAGGTTATATCCTCACCTGTGGATTAGGGGAAAATTCTACTTACTTTCTAGGGTATTAGGATTAAGGAAATTACTGTGTTTGAATATACTAGGCAGCTTCAAAAAGTGGCAAAAAWTTTTAAGGTATCATCAATTATGTAGCATCAATTATGAGTAAAGCATATACCAGAGGAATAGTTCATTGCTGTAAAAGTGAATGCTATCTTGTCCAAGTGGTCATTAACATTAAATATGTTTGTCAATCATGCAGTTAATACACATTTATTGAGCATCTACTGTTAGCCAGCCTCACAGAGTACCTGCAGGGAGCACACTCAGCCTTTTTGGACCATAAAGAAATGCTTTACTTTAAAACACAGTTTTTATTACTGCTTTAAAGAGTCATAAAATATCTTCTCCCCTTGTACTATTTTAAGTATGCTGACAAGTTTTTCTTTCAAGATTAACCAGACATTAAATAAAAGGAAAAAAAAAACAAAAACAAAAGACAACTTGATTAAAGAACCAAGGAGGAAATATTGCGTTTCATCAAACGAAAGTATGCAGTTAATTGGCATTGTCCTCTGGGTACCAATTATTATTTTTAAAAATTTACATTCACACCAGTGCTGGCAGAATTATGGGTACAAAGTGTTATATCTTTTTTTTCTTAAGCAGTATTATGATTGTTTCATTTCAAGTATAGTAGAATGTTCTCCCAGAGCTGTTAATGTCAAAAATGGAGTTACACAATCCAATGATGAATGGTAGTGAAAGGGAACAGAAATTAAAGGGAACTTTATGAATTCCCAGCACCAATAAGAGGATCCATCTGTGAATTACTGAAATTTTACAAACCAGTGGGTAAGCAAACAATTGATAAGAACATTAAAGGCTCYAGTCTCATGGGTGAGTATGCTATTTACTCTCACATCTTAGCTTATTCTTAATTATGGCAATTTTCTTAATAGGCCAGTAAAGACAAGAACAAATACGTATTTCAAAAGGGCAGAGACATCTTCACYAATGATGTTCTCTCCTATGTGCTGCAGTTTACCCACTGAGAAAGTGAAGCAAGACTTTTTCCTTTTGAAGAACATTAGTTAACCTTTTTAATTTTTTGTAATTCAAAATAAGAGATCATCTGTTGAAGGCTACCTAGGTTGGTTCCATAGTTTATCTATTGTGAATCAAGCAGCTGTAAACATTGATGTGGCTGCATCACGGTAGTATGCTGATTTTAAGTAGAAACCTAGGAGTGGGAGAACTGGGTCAAATGGTGGTTCCACTCCAGGTTTTCTTAGGATGGAATATCACTCAGCCTTCAAGAAGAATGAAATTATGGCATTTTTCACTGATAAATGGATGAAACTGGAGAATATTATGCTAAGTGAAATAAGCCAATCCCAAAGAATGGAAGGCCAAATGTTTCTCTGATATGCAGATGCTAATTCACAATCAGGGCAACAGGGGACAGGGTGGGGGGAAGAATAGAGAATAGAAGTAGTTTAGATTAGACAAAGGGGAATGATGGGAGAGGAAGGGGTATGGGTATGGGAATGATAGTAAAATGAATCGGACATTATTACCCTGTGTGCATATGTGATTACATGACCTGTGTAACTCATCATCATGTTCAACCAGATGAATGAGAAGTTATACTCCATTAATGTTCAATGTACTGTCATGTATAACTAATTTGAACAAATAAAAAACAAAAACAAAATAAGAGATCATAAGGAGAACACAGAGTTGAGAATGATAAGAATTAACCAAGAATAGAATAATTCTTGTCCAATAATTAAAAGGCCTCATAACGGAGAGGACATTGTGGCCAAACCATGACTCGTGTTTTGCCACTATGTATTGAACACACAAAATCCTTACCTTGGGTGTATTATCCTACATGAAAGGAGAAAAAAATCAGTTACAGACATTTCTAAAGAGGATATTGCAAATAGAAGGATCAGCATCAGAAAAATTTGATCGCAAAAACCCTGGAGAATCATGAAAATTTTCATTCTGTCCCAATTTTGGGGATTTGGGGGAGACAACTTTAAACGGATATATGCAGGAGTAACAAATCATCTGTTTCCACATATAAGTGGAGTTGAGTGAAATGTTCCAGGGAGACTGTTAGTAGAAATCATGAGCAGAGCGTGCGTCTGCAGGGCCCGATCTGCAGGGGCTGCTTCTCTCCCTGTGGTTTGTCTTCACCACCCCTGTTTTAAAGCCAGATGATGATTTCTTTTCACTAGTTTGGCAAGTTCACTGAGTTTGGAAAACTGCTTTTACATCCATAATCGACWATCAGGGAGTGACAGAGAAAAATGAAAAATGCTTGCTGTCTYAAATTAATAATGAAAGAACCAAGATTTGTTCAGTGTCTTGTGAATGTAAATCATTATGCTCAGTATTATGAAGGTTATAAAAAGTTACAAACAGTGGTCCCAGTAGTGAAGTGGYTTATCATATACTTGGGAAGACCAGGCAGATAATGGGAGGAAACTGCTAATGATTCAGGACAGTTTGGGTAGACAACAAATGAGGTATGWGGGGATACCACAGGGAGGCTCCCTGAGCAAACAGGGAAGACTGGGCCTGCGTCACTGGAAATGAAAGTCACTCCTGGATGGGAAAGAAAAATAAAAGTGCAGAAACTCCAGATATGCCACCCTGGCTCATTTAAGACCAGGGATTAAAGCGTCTTGATGCTTTAATTGGTAAGGAAAGGAACACCAGGAGRCGTTAAGAGACTTGTCCAAGGTCACCTGGCTCATGACTGACAACTCCAGGACTGAAACTTGGATTTGCTGATTTACAGTGCATCTTTTTATATTTATAGTTTGAAAAGTCTGGGTTCTACATGGTAGAAGTTTGTGAATATCTTGTTGGGGAGTTTTGGATGTAATCCTGTGGGTAGTATGGACTAAATCCTTGAATTTCTTCAAAGTACCTAACAAACAAGTTGCCAAATTGCAGGCTGATTCTTGTTGTTGGTACATATCCCCTTCTTGATTTTTTTCGTTTGATGATTTCCTGTATACCCTCCATCCTTGTTTTTTATCTTATCTGTCTAAAAACTCTCATTTTTCTCTTCCAACCCAGGCCTCTTAACATGGGACATTCTGCTTTTCTTTTTTTGCACTAGCCTTGATGAAGCTCCATGGTTTTTCATTTCATATGARTTTGGG